TAGCCACAGACATACGGCTTGCTGGAAGTAGCAGCCCTTATGCAGGACGTGTTGAGGTTTTTTACAGTGGATCATGGGGTACTGTCTGTGACGATAGTTGGGGCATGAGCGATGCCCTTGTAGTATGTAGGCAGCTTGGATTCAGTAGTGCAAGCAGTGCTCCACATAGTGCTGCCTATGGACAAGGATCTGGAACAATATGGATGGACGATGTAAGTTGTRGTGGATCCGAAAGCAAACTCCAATACTGCTCTCAACGTGGATGGGGATCTCACAACTGTGGCCACGGTGAAGACGCAAGTGTATCGTGCAATCCATGAACTAAAAAACGGACCATGCAAGAGGGTGTCATGTCATGGCAAGAGAATATGAACTAGTTCAATTTTCTCTTGGTCAGGGTCTACATCTACACAAGATGCTTTCTGACCGGTTAATTAACCATGATTTTTTCCTTAATCCATGCAATTAGTTATATAGGACGTTTGCACGATTGCATCATTTTCTACCACTACCAGAATCCCTTGCACACTTTGTTTTGTTCAGTTAATTAGCACCAATTGTCTTACTATCCTTATTAGGAAATACAAATTTAAACAATTAAGAAGGAAAATTCGCGAAGCATTATGGTGGGGGTCAAGTGACGCCATCATGCAAACGTCCTAATGCACATCGCGCGCTCGTGCAATTAATTGATTGTACTCATCCGAGAACTTTTTACCGTGTGTTGTTGTTTAAAATGCAAAAATGGAGCCGGATAGACCAAATTCAAAACTCGCACCGATGTGAGGCTTCAGTTGTGAACAAAGGGATCTGGCGTGACTCAAAGTAATCTGGCGTGATTCAAAAGTCACGAATCACGCCAGATTCCTTTGTTCACAACTTAAGCCTCACATCGGTGCGAGTTTTGAATTTGGTCTATCCCATCATCTTTTTTCACTTCAGAAACCCGTATTTTATGTAGATGTATTATTAAAGGAAACACCACCTTAGTTGTCGAAGAAGGTATTTTTCATTACTTCTTCAATATAATAACTAAGGTGGTCTTTCCTATACATATAGTTAATTGTCCGGATTAGTTTAGAGCCCAATTAATTTCAGCTACGGACGGTTTTGCGTCCATCAAGTTTCGAGTTGACAACGGTCTGCATGGATTTGTTGTAGGGAATTTGATAGCTGGAATTGGCTAGGATAAGACGTCTAAAGAGTCCATACTAGTTCTAAAAACCTAAATACTTGAAATTGTTATAAGAGTAGCTCTTATTGCGAGTAAGTCAATTAAAGGTCTGATAATATCTAAGCTATGCAACRAGAAGAATTCAGTTTCCCAGGGGAAAAAGACTATTGTTGTGCCTCCTGTCTTGGTWGCCATCACGTGATGGTGCAAAGCCTCTACAGTCCCCAGTATGAGAAAGACTTGCAGACATTCAGCACTAACCAACTTTTAGAGTGTCTATTTTGTTATCTTGTTATACGTGGATTCCTGCACATACACACACAAAAAATAAAGCAAAAGAAGAAGAACATGAACATGAAAACTAAAAAACGCAAAAATGTAGAGGTTGATTTAATGTTTAGGTCACCCATCCATGTACTAACCCTGCCAACCGGGCTTGACTTGTCAGTGTCTGGGAAGTCCAAGTTCTTTTCCACTACGATCTATCAAATTAGCACAACAATAGCAAAGACTGAAAGCAGTGCACATAGACTAGATTATTTTCCACTTCAAATCGACGTGCTGTGTAGGTACTGTCTGAGGGGGTACGTTACTCGTATTTTTCCTCGTCCCTACGGAACTCGGAAAAATACATTCGCAACTCGTAAAATATCAGCCCGTATTACGGGAAAAAACCCAAATAAGATATAAAAATCTCTCGTGTAGACACAAATTGTTTTTCAAAGGTTTAAACGATTCGAATCCTCATTGGAGATTCAAACAGTTTATTAGTGCATTAATTCAAAGTTATAATAATGATATTTTTTTCTGCAGTGCTATACAGTTCACTCAATTTTAATATCAATTTGGTTTYAAGTCATTTTTCAAAAGACCATTTACTCAGGGCTAGCCTCATTTCAGTGTAACACTGAAACTCAAKGATTTTCACTGGAACACATGAATATTCGATACACAAATCGAGTCTAAACCTGCACACAGATAATTTTAAAATGGAGTATTGGATGGATTTGAGCGGTTTCTGTGTGAGCTAGATAGAYCACATGACTATAATACGGATTTCAAGGCATCAATGATCTGAAGTGTTTCATCAATATGACATATYTGWKGCAGGAATARCTTAGGAGCGCTACTCTTACGCTGTGCTACCAAACATTTCCTGGAATTTCTTCACATACATCTCGCACTTTTCKCCTGTGAAGTTAAACATGAAAAAAAAAAGTCACAATCCCAAGAAAAGAAAATGCAATAAATAGACCCCTTGCAGTGCGTTGAAATGCAGCTCACTTTGGAGGACACAACAATAGGTTTTCAAATTCTCATTTTGTTTTGTCCTCCAAATTGAGCTGCTTTGACGTCACATGGAAGGCGATTATTCTTCGTTTTCACATGACGTCATAGCCGCTATCTTGATTGAATTTTACGACATGATTTTCGACGAGTTCTTTTGTTTTATCRACAAGAGAATATTAAGTATATCAACCAACATTGTGCCTTTTGTTATTTCACTGGCGAAGAATTAATGATGATGATAATGATTTATGAATTTATATAGCGCCCTTTCTATATGAATATAATCAAAGGCGCTTTACATTGAGTTGTGAATGACAGATTGTTTTTTGTGCAATTTACAAGCATGAGAGATGGTTAATATGAAGTGTAGGCACTGAGGGTGGTCACTGCCAGGGTTTCTTTACGTCCTCAGTGGTTCTTTTACGTCCCTCCTATGTTGGTTACGGATGAGTGTGGAGAGACGGGACCGCCATTTAAAGTGGTCATCCGAGCCACTTGAAAGTCTAACCATTTGCAGATGTAAAGGCAGCACTTTCTCCTCAGTTATTTTAAGACCCTGAGTGTTGGTCCGGCCGGGACTCGAACCACGACCTCCCGCACGAAAGTCCGATGCTCAACCAACTGAGCCAACCGGTTGGCGGTTGCCACACGGTTATAAACCACACATTCGAAATAACGTACTCGTCTCACCTGGAGCAAACTCAGGGTTTCCACGTAAACGAATATTGCGTTGCTCGAAAAACTTGAACACTAGAAAAATAGAATAAGAATAGAGCCATAAGCTGAGGGGACGTTCAATCAATGAACCCTTATTAACCTGCATTTGTTTTACGTGGCCCCCTGTTCAAACTGGACATTTAAAAAAATAATTGTTCTTAGCTTAATTTTGCTAATTTTTTTGTGGTGGCCCTCGCTTCAATGCCATATCCTTTAAGACAAGTCAAGACGACGTATTTTATTGGCTCCGTATTAACATATTTACATTGGATTGCTGCCAATAAAAATATAGAATAATTCAAGAGACTAATATATATTGACTTCTTATTTATAATAGTATCAGCGATCGCCGCCCATCGATCTATATATATATGTCTTTTCCTTTATTCACCAAAATATTAACAAGTTAAATTATTTGTCAAATATCTTATTGCTTTAGATTATCCCTCTTTTTAAAACAGTC